GGTGCTCTTTCAAATTCAAAACTTGGCGACACTGCCTTTCGTTCGATGCTTCCTCTTTTTCTTGTCGAGTTCGTCTTGTGCTCTCATTCTGGTATATTTTGACGTCATGCCCAGTTGCTCTCAGCTCGATTGGCGCAATCTTGTATTCTATCATTCTTGCCTTATAATATCATTGTACATAGGACCCAATAAATTGTTTAATATTTATGAGAGCCACAAAACTTAGCTAATTTCTGCTGTGATTTCTATCGCGTCGCAAAATGTGCCACAATCTTAAGTGTTTGAAAAGTACACAGAAACTTACAAATGTATGTTGTGGTGGCGTATTTGTTGCAGCAGCAAACTTTGAGACGGAGTAGAAATCACAGCAGTGATGAGCTAAGGTTTGTGACTTGGTTAGAATGCGGTTATTAATTTATTAGTTCACTGTCAACAATTTTAATTAGAAGTCGGTTCCTCTTTTTGCGCCAGGAAGCAAACTTTATATCTAAGTTGCTTCGTTTGAGTGTAGTATTGAAAAAACAAAATTACATACTTCCTTAACTGGGAAAACGTACCATTATTTAAAGACTTCATTAATATTTCCTCATGGCTTAAATTACTTCTTTCAACTGCGCAAAAACTTTGAAAGGCTAAGAATTCGCTAAAAAGAGTATCTAACTCGATGTCTTGTGTGCAAAACCCCTTTACAATGTCAGTAAATTGAAAAGAATAATTGTAGGTTGTGGGCAAAAGCCATTCAATGATTCAAATTTGTTTTATAAAACTGAAAGTTATTTTCGAGTTAACTAACAACACTCGACAAAAATGCGCAGCCCTTTTTTAAATAATTTATAATCCATCATATTATCGCTATTGGTGTGTAACGCCTCGGCGATATGCCCATAAAACGACTTCCCTTAAACGCGGTTAAACGATGTCAAAATTAAAACTCACTAAGGCGTATGGGAGATATCCGGATTCCGTCTTTTTCATTATGAAAGAAGCATTTCCGCATTACTGGTCAAGAACCCATTCCTATTTTCAACATAAATGCCACCCAATGCACTAAGCCAGGGGTGCTCATCCAGAAGCTCAATTGGCGGGGGGCGGGGCCACGCCCACTTTCCAAAATTTTATCATATGCGTACTTGTTAAAGAATTATTGCAAGAATCAATTTTGAATAAATTAGCTTTAGTATTTACTGATCTATCGAAGATTTCGAATTTCTCTAAATTACCTTTATATGGGATGTGGGCGTGTTTATTGACCGATTTTAAAAATTTTCAGCCATTTGGTATGTTGTACAAAGGCCAACAACTGTGCTAAGTTTGGGAGAAATTGGTGTATCGGATTGCATTCATTCCAATTTCCATAAAATTATAATATTCTTATTTTTCGTCTAAAAATAATTGTAAATATCAATTTTGAGTGAATATGCTTCAGTAGTTACTAGAATATCGCAGTTTTCGTATTTCTGAAAACTACCTTTATATGGGAGGTAGGCGTGGATGTTGTCCGATTTTGCCTATTTTGAACACCATCCGTCCAATGCTCGAAAGAAATACACGTACCAAGTTTCGTTAAGATATCTCAATTTTTCCTCGATTTATCGTGTGCACAGATGGACGGACGGACAGTCACCGCTTAATCGATTTCTCTTTCATTCTGATCATTTATGTATACATTTGTCTATATCTATCTCGATTCGTTTTGCCTGTTACAAACAACCGTTATGTGAATAATACCCTTGTGCACAAGCGCACTCGGGTATAAAAATCAATCACGCGTTTTTTCTTAGCGGCGTTCATTGTAGTTTATCTTTTGTCTTTGACGTGTCTCCTCTATTTACCAAAAATAAATTCGGGTTGCAGACGGAGAAGTTATATTTTTCGTACAGGATGATATCATAACTTAGACTTCAGGGGAGAAATTTTGTATTCCTAGTTACGTATTCGATAGTTCAGCTCGAAAAAGCAGATAATCTAGCTAACCAAAAAAACCTAATATAACAATATTGTGAAATTTATTAAGGGCATCAGTCTACCGAAATCCGGCTCTTATTTTTCACAGGATATCCGGAATCCGGTTATCCAGCGAAATCTCTATCCGACACATCCCTAGTTTTCATCTATTTTTATTTCCAGCAAATCTACATACACGCACTTACCGAAAATATATTTAATTTTAATGATAATTTTCAAATCAAAATGACAAATGACGAAATCGTCGAACGCCGCAATTGTAGCTTTGTTTCTTAATAGATAATTATCACTA